TATACTTGATGTCATTTATATGCTGTTGCACTATGCATGAAATAAACCAAGGACAATAGACCACATTTATTAATGTTTTTATATTGATGTTCTTGTTTATAGGGGCATAAACTTTGTTGTTGTTGCTGTTGAATAAAATGGCCTTTAGAATGAGAATTACAATGCTTTTATAATGGTAATAATTGGTTGACCATAAAAAAAGGTATACAAATCTCACAGATACATATTGAAGTAGGAACCCAAGTAGTGTAGGACTCTTACTGCTATATGCAACAGAAAATCAGGGCTCTCTGTAGCATTGATGTTTCAGCTTCAGCCAGGGAAGAATTAAAAATTAAACAGCTTTTCTGAACCCATCTTGCTGTACCATAGACGAGAAATTGAATCAGCTGGCTGGCTTAGCTGTTCTCTGTCCATACGGTATGTAGATTTTAGACTAGTTTTTAACGTTTCAGCACAAACGGTAAACTGATCTGATGGTCAGAGGTAGAAAACATACTTCATTCAAGATGATTGCAAATGCATTTAGCTATACTAGTGCCTTGTTATTTTGTCATGGTTGCATTCTGAGTACAATTTGAAATGCAGGCTTAATCTCCTGTTGTGTTGAAAATCTGGTGACAAATTAACCTCCATTGGATTCCGACACTATGAGAAAAAGTAAAGATTTGTATAAAATATGAGACATTTTGGACTCTTACAGCCTTCGTGTGAGATGTTAAAATTAGATGCACAGACACGAAATAAAAATGTGTCCTTGATGTTTTTATTGACTACTTGTAGAGATTATTTGCACACAATTAGCTGCAAATAACTACAGCTAAGCATAAATAGTATCTAACTGTCACGGGTTACTACTGTGAGGAGCACGGAGCGAGGAACGAGGAGACCAGGAGTACAAAACAAAAGAGTTTAATTCTATTTTTCTGGGAATCACACGTAGCAGAAGGAGTTGACAAACACAATTCCAGACAAAGAGACTCAGAACAGGCTAGAACTAAATAGGGCAGATAATGAGGGGCAGACAGGTGAGGAGGATAACTAATAATGAGACACACCTGGAACAAATCAAACTACATTGGGACAGGAACAGGTAAGGACCAAATAAGGACAACAGGAACTAAACAGGAACATACACGTGACAGATCGCCCCCCTCCCGGATGACGCGTCCCACACCATAACAGTACCATCAGGGAGGGGGGGCGGGCGCCCTGGAGGCTGGTGCAGGACTGGAACAGGGCGTATATGCCCCCCCCAAAAAAAAATTTCTTGGGGAAATCTAGGAATGCTGGGGGGCGTTCTGGAGGAGCGGGCACTAGATGGCGCTCTAGAAAGCGCTTATGGGGAGCGGGCACTGGAGTGAGCTCTGGGGCTGGAGCCGACACTGGAGCCGAAACTAAAGCAAGGAGCCCTTCCTGGGCTTGACTGGGGATCAGGAGCCCTCCCTGGGCTAAATGGGGAATCAGGAGCCCTCTGTGGGCTATACTCGGGAACAGGAGCCCTCACTGGGCTGAACTGGGGATCAGGAGCCCTATATATATATATATATATATATATATATATATATATATATATATACTGTATGTTAAAACTGATGCACGGATTAGTGTTGAGGTAGATTTAGTGTGATTTGATTGGTTTTCTGAGATCCGTTCAAATGATTTTTGTCTTTCTCAGCAGCAAGAGTCCCTCTGCTAATTCAGTTTTTATTACATTTAAGTTGATAGTTGTTGCTGCCAAAAGCACTAGGAGAAATGAATCAGTCCACTCAACGCTCACTAATAACTTTGTATCTCTCTCTCTCTCTCTCTCTCTCTCTCTCTCTCTCTCTCTCTCTCTCTCTCTCTCTCTCTCTCTCTCTCTCGTGCACACACACACACGCACACACAATGTCTCTCTCCCTCTCTCTCTCACACGCACACACACACACACACACGATGTCTCTCTCTCTCACGCACACACACACACGATGTCTCTCTCTCTCTCTCTCACACACACACACACACACACACATGATGTATGTGGGGGCGTGTTAGAACGAGCCGTTTTAGGGGGGGCGTGGCAGAGTCTTAACTTTGATAAAGAATATCTCTTTGGTTTTGAGACTTTAGTCTTTGCAACTTCAGGGATCTTATCTATGCACAATCAGCTTGTAACACTCCAAAGAGAAAGGAAAACTTGAAAGCGCATCATATGACCCCTTTAAGACAACAATTGTGCATTTCAACCAGATGCTGCACAATTTTGTTGCATCTTGAAACTCATTGACTTTTATTGTGATGACATTGTCGATGTTCCAAGGTGGTGGATGCGTCTACGTGCTTGGATCGGTCGAATGAGGAATCTACCTATACATATCTATGGTTGCAAGGGTGTTCTTGGTGGTAGCTAGGCAGTTGCTATGGTGTTCTTGGTGGTAGCTAGGCAGTTGCTATGGTGTTCTTGGTGGTAGCTAGGCAGTTGCTAGGGCTTAGGCAGTTGCTATGGTGTTCTTGGTGGTAGCTAGGCAGTTGCTATGGTGTTCTTGGTGGTAGCTAGGCAGTTGCTGTGGTGTTCTTGGTGGTAGCTAGGCAGTTGCTATGGTGTTCTTGGTGGTAGCTAGGCAGTTGCTAGGGCTTAGGCAGTTGCTATGTGTGCTTGGTGGTAGCTAGGCAGTTGATGTGGTATTCTTGGTGGTAGCTAGGCAGTTGCTAGGTCTATGATCCTATAAAAAAAAAATCTTAAATAATGCTTTTTTAACTCATTTTTAATAATAATTTAAATTCAGGAATAATAATAATAACAATAATAAATGTTTTACGTTTTTCAGAAATTCTGTGTTGTTGTTTTTCTGAGTGTGTTTTATGCATCATGGAAATCATAGGGCCCTAATGGTGTTATAGATGGTTGCTAGGGCATTGCTAGGAAGGTGCTAGGGTGTTTCAGGTGGTTGCTAATTTGTTGCAAGAGTGTTTTGGGTGGTTCCTAATTCTTGGTGGCTGCGAAGTCATTGCTATATGGCTGCTAGGGTGTTTTTGGTGGTAACTAGGCAGTTACTGGGTGTTATAGATGGTTACTTGGGCGTTCCTAGGTACCCCAGTCTTTCACTCAGATATCAAAGTTGAATTTTGCGTTAACTGTAGCTCTGTAATAATTTTCTATTGTTAACTTCCTAATTTTTTTTAGTTGCAGAAACAGTTGATGACAGTTGTTGAAACAGTTAAAAATACAGAAAATTTTTGTGAAAGTGTTAAATCCTACATACAGATAAAAAAAAGAAACCTGTGTACCTCAGTGGCTTTGCTTTGCTCTGTCTGTTTTTCAAAAAAATCTTAAATAATGCTTTTTTAACTCATTTTTAATAATAATTTAAATTCAGGAATAATAATAATAACAATAATAAATGTTTTACGTTTTTCAGAAATTCTGTGTTGTTGTTTTTCTGAGTGTGTTTTATGCATCATGGAAATCATAGGGCCCTAATGGTGTTATAGATGGTTGCTAGGGCATTGCTAGGAAGGTGCTAGGGTGTTTCAGGTGGTTGCTAATTTGTTGCAAGAGTGTTTTGGGTGGTTCCTAATTCTTGGTGGCTGCGAAGTCATTGCTATATGGCTGCTAGGGTGTTTTTGGTGGTAACTAGGCAGTTACTGGGTGTTATAGATGGTTACTTGGGCGTTCCTAGGTACCCCAGTCTTTCACTCAGATATCAAAGTTGAATTTTGCGTTAACTGTAGCTCTGTAATAATTTTCTATTGTTAACTTCCTAATTTTTTTTAAACAGTTGAACAGTTGATGACAGTTGTTGAAACAGTTAAAAATACAGAAAATTTTTGTGAAAGTGTTAAATCCTACATAAAAAAGAAAAAAAGAAACCTGTGTACCTCAGTGGCTTTGCTTTGCTCTGTCTGTTTTTCAAAGTGAACTCATTTCATTCGGTTCCTGTGTAATGTTGTCTGTAAACACAGCAGTTGGATGGCTTCTGGGAAACGTTCCAGGCCGGAATACCTGAACGTTACGCTGTCAGTCTGATTTGTGGGCGGGGCATCGTGGGCGGAGCCTTACAGACCCTGTGAAACGTTACGGGAAGCTTTCCACTGTCATTTAGAAATGTAGTCGCTCAGTTTAACCTGGTCAAATTTGGACATGAGGTGAAAGATGCATGACATTAAAGTGCTGATCATAAATTTGATCATATTTATATTCAGAACATAGATCATCTCTTTCTTTAGAACAGCTTGATACAGTAATAACTCACTTCTCTGCTTTGCTTCACTAGATGTTGTAGCCAGAACCATCTGAGGACAGTAGAGACCACAAGTCCTGTGCCTTTATATGGATAAACACACACATTAAAGGAACATCCAAAAATGAATATTTGCTGAAAATGTACTCCCTTCAGACCATTCAAGATATTGATGACTTTGTTTCTTCATCAGATTTGGAGAAATGTAGCATTATATTACCAATGCATCCTCTGCAGTGAATGGGTGCCGTCAGAATGAGAGTCCAAACAGCTGATAAAAACATCATTCTGACGGCACCCATTCACTGCAGAGCATCCACGTTAACCAAGTGATGCAATGCTACATTTCTCTAAATCTGATGAAGAAACAAACTCATCCACATCATGGATGGCCTTTGGGAACATTATTCATTATGTTCTATGTTCTAGAAATGGTATTTCAGTTGCAGTGAATTTTAAGTGTGTTTGAATGATGCAGTTGTGTGTGTGTGTGTGTGTGTGTGTGTGTGTGTTTAGATGGTTTCGTTTCCTCTTTGTTTCAGAACAGTCACAAGAGTTCACAAAAATATCATACTGCATATTAAAACACACACTTGTTGTAATGGTGCCAATCTGCAGAGCTTGTCTCTGAGCAGGAAGTTGGTCGAGAGATTTCAAAAGCGAGCTATCCACGTGCACAAGTGTGTGTGTGTTCCTGTGCAAACGTCTCTTGTGTGTCATCATGTAGAGATGAACAGGAAGCTGTTGCAGCCGTTCTCTCTGAGCGGAAGCCATGGCTTTATGTGGTGTCAGTGGCTCTAATAACAGACAGAACAGTGAATGGTCTGAAGAGAACGGGAGAGGAGAGGAGAGGAGGTGATGGACAGTGAAGGAGATGCGGGAGATTGTTCGTTGGAGGAGTTTCCCTCCAGCCCAGCCCCAGCGGAGGCCGAACATGTGGTAGGAGCTCAAAATCTGCTCAGTTCACATTGAACTGTCTGTATGGCACTGATCTGCAGTTTGTTATTCACCTAAAACCTCGTTCCACACCTGTATGACTTTATTTTTTATTTTAGAACATAAAAGAGGATATTTTAAAGAATGGAGATATTTTAGCATCCTTAATATACTATTGTTTATGTATTAATATTTTGAGTTAGTTTATATATATACATATATATATATTAGTTTTAATTTTAGTTAAAGTTTTAATAACTTTATGTTTTTGTCATTTATTGAATTTTTTATTGTTATTATTTTAAATGTGTTTTTTTTTTGGCAACACTTCCATTTGTTAGCATTAGTGAACTATATTAAGTAACTAACAATGAACAATACTTTGAAAGCATTTATTGATCTTATGATGTCAGGTGATTTGAAATCATAGCAGATTTCAACATTTACTAGTACATTTTTCAAATCAAAAGTTGTATCTGTTAATATTATTTAATGGACCTGAGCTAAGATGAACTAATAGTTGTATTTACTTGTTGGGTCTTTCCCAAAAAGACTCATGGCTGTATTAGTTCAAAAGGGTGCTTCTACTAAATACTGAGCAAAGGGTCTGAATACTTAGGACCATGTGATATTTCAGTTTTTCTTTTTTAATAAATCTGCAAAAATGTCAACAATTCTGTGTTTTTCTGTCAATATGGGGTGCTGTGTGTACATTAATGAGGAAAAAAAAAATTACTTAAATGATTTTAGCAAATGGCTGCAATATAACAAAGAGTGAAAAATTTAAGGGGTCTGAATACTTTCCGTACCCACTGTATATATATATATATATATATTTAGTTATTGGGCCCTATTGGTGAAAAAACACTTAGACGTTTATTAAAATGTCGTCTTTTATGTTCTGTTTTATTCTTAAGTCTTACAGGTTTGAAACGACATGAGGATGATAGAATTTATTCTTTCAAGGCCTGAACTAAACTTTTGCGAGACAAAGATTGTGGTGATGATGATGGTTTATAACTGTTGTGTTTTTGCATTTGTGATGTTTCTGGACTGTAGTGAAACTAATGCTGCTCAGAGCTTAATGGTGTTCACAAGACATTCGACTTCCGTAATGAGACATGTTTCTGAGTGAAACAGGATATAAAGATTAAAAAAAAAATCTGATTAAATGATTGGATGATGAACATGTCTTTGTGTGAAGGTGGCTGATGAATAAGATGAATTGATGACATGAGAGGAAAAGGAAAGTCGTTGCAGAGGAGAAAGTTCAAAGTATGAAGACAAACTTTATTGCATTAGAAACGTGAGCTGATGGATCATTCACAATAGACCAGTAACGTGTATTTAAATACATAAGATTCAGACCCAAATGAGTCAAATAGGAATATATACTGATAATAATTTGATTTAAGGATTTCAAATAAATTGCTAGTAAATTTCACAAATAATTATAAAGAAACAGCAAGTAACATGTTGAATTAAACATGAGAGACTGAAATAGTGTTTTGTAAAACATACGCCCAATAATCTTTGTTTTATTCACAATTCTGACTGAGTAGAGCTTTAAAAGTAACATGGAGAGCAGCTCAGATCCATTTGAAATGTTTATACCTTTATATGTCCACACTGAGATCTCTGATTTTTGAGATCGTGGCTAATTTTAGACATTGAGATCTTGTCTGAAACTTTAGAGGAGATAAATGTGACCCTGGAGCACAAAACCAGTCTTAAGTCGCTGGGGTATATTTGTACACTCTAAAAAATGCTGGGTTAAATACAACCCAGTGCTGGGTAAAATAGGGACAAACCCAGCAATTGGGTTGTTTTGACCCAGCGGCTGGGTTAAATGTTTAACCCAACCTTCTGGGTAACAATTGCTGGGTTTGTCCCTATTTTACCCAGCACTGGGTTGTATTTAACCCAGCATTTTTTAGAGTGTAGCAATAGCCAACAATACATTGTATGGGTCAAAATTATCGATTTTTCTTTTATGCCAGAAATCATTAGGATATTAAGTAAAGATCATGTTCCATGAAGATATTTTGTACATTTCCTACCGTAAATATATCAAAACTTAATTTTTGATTAGTAATATGCATTGCTAAGAACTTCATTTGGACAACTTTAAAGGTGATTTTTCTCAGTATTTTGATTTTTTTTGCACCCTCAGATTCCAGATTTTCAAATAGTTGTATCTCGGCCAAATATTGTCCCATCCTTACACACCATACATCAATGGAAAGCTTATTTATTCAGCTTCCAGATGATGCATAAATCTCAGTTTCAGGAAATTGACCCTTATGACTGGTTTTGTGGTCCAAAGTCACAAATGTGCGATTAACTGGGTCCTTTTGAAAGGAGGAACATCAGGAAAGTTCAGCAAAACGCCATTGAACTTGAAGGAACTATTGAGATTTGAAAGAGATTTCATTGTGTTTTTTCTTTCCTACATGCTTTATGTGTGTGTTTTGTAAGTGAGCTGCTCACGGCTGAACTTCCTTATTGAGTCACAATGTTCATGCGTGTCGTTCGCTCTCTGTCAGCTGAATGTTTCTGCGGTGTCTTGAGTCTGCTATCTGCTCTATTTACACTGCCAGATGTGTGTTTAGTCTTTAAGTGGCTGCGCGAAGTGTGTTATATTTCAGCTGGGCGATGTTTGATTACAGTTCAACTCAGTCTGTGCGATTCTTTTGTCTCTTGTGTTGGTATCGGCCAACACAAACAAAACACAAAAAAGAACTTCTGTTTGCGAGTCAACAGTCAGTTACCTTATCCATGATGTCTTTGACTTCCTCAGCATTAGAAGCTGAACCGCAGAGCTGCCCTTTGCTCCTCACACCGCTGCTGACTCATGACGGATCACTGACAAAGACTACAACATGAGTTTCAATTAAAGTTGCAAAGATGAATTGAAATGCACTTAAATGATCCTCTGCTGAGCCTTTTTGTATTTAAGAAATTATTGCTTGCTGAAACTTTTTGTGACTCTCTTGTGATTAATTTGATTCTAAATCTGCTTTTCAGTCATTCGTATTGAGTAAAGTTAGTGCTATATGAATGTAAAATGTAAAAACGGCATTAAGATGAAATTAAAAATATATCAAATAAACACCCTACTGGATATAAAATTTTTAATAATTAGGGTATTTTTTGTTCTCATGTACAACAAAGCCATTTGATAAATTACAGTAAAAACAGTAATACTGTGAAATATGATTACAGAATAAAATAACTGGTTTAATATATTAATCTATTTTTAATATATTTAATATATATTTTGTGGAAACCACGGCATTAAGATGAAATTAAAAATATATCAAATAAACACCCTACTGGATATAAAATTTTTAATAATTAGGGTATTTTTTGTTCTCATGTACAACAAAGCCATTTGATAAATTACAGTAAAAACAGTAATACTGTGAAATATGATTACAGAATAAAATAACTGGTTTAATATATTAATCTATATTTAATATATTTTAAAATAATTTTGTGGAAACCTATATTGATTAAAAAAACTTTTTTTTAAATAAAAGTATCATTGTTATTATTTTTTATTTATTTAAATTATTTCTTTCTCCAACGTTTCCACAAAAATATGAACCAGGACAACTATTTCCAACATTAATAATAACAATAATAATAATAAATGTTTAGAGCAGCAAATCAGCATATTATAATGATTTCTGAAGGATCATGTGACA